AACATTAGAGGGTCTCCCGTAAAGATGCCTAGTTCGGGTGGAGGTAATCGGCTTAGGTTAATCTGTTGTGCAAAGGATCTTGTTATATCTGCCACATCCTGTGGAACAAATTCCTTGGCAGATGCATCAAGTTTTGTAGACGCAAGTAGACCTGGGGTAGGTCTTGAGTTTTCTGCCTCAAGATTTCTGCTTGCTCTCTGAATTATAGGAGTGTTCAACTGTGGTGAAGAGTCAACAACATGTGTCTGATTCAGGTGTGTAAGGAGAGACTCAACATATATTTTAACATTATCCATTGCATCCTGGGTCTTAGATACGTGTTTATGAACTTGTGAAATACGTCTGAATCATCCTTGCCATACGGAATTGTATTTTCCAGATCAGCTTGAGTAAGTGCAAACAGTCTAGCTTCTGCTATTGCTAGATGTTTCATAGTTTTAACTCTTTCCACTTCAGATCTTGTTTTTTCTTCATTACCAACATACTGTAACTTTACCTTTAACGCTGCCACATCTGCTGCCGCATCAGCACGAGATTTACGACTGTGGCTGGATTTCAGACCAGATATATACTGTCACTCATTTTGATAGTCATGCACTGTTGTCAGACACCGTTATGCATATGCAATTTCTGTTATTATTCTGTAATACCACATTACAGTCAGAATTGCATCGGACGAGTCACTTCAATCCTAAAACAGTCATGGTTACAGCTGGAGGTATATCGTGTACAAACTTCACGGCACACGTCGGTAATAAGAAATAAGCTTTCTCATTCATAGATAAAAGTTCACTACAAAGTGTTCAATGAAGCTACTCACATCTGAGAAACTGTTTTACTCACATCAGACGGATGATCCGTGTAATGTTTTTACTGTAACGGTCTGTCGTTGGTTGAAAACTTATATCCCATGATCATAGATCGCAAGACAGCTTGGTGTCAAATAGTTTATTTACGGAGACCTGTCGAGGGCCTCATAAAAACATCGCAAATCACACATGTCAACTTGAAATTACAATCAAACGCAAGGAGAAACATCCCGAGGTCACAACTGGCACTGCATCTCATCGCATCCAATATGCCATGTGCTCCCTTTCCACTTGCGCCCAAAGCGGCCGCAACTCTCACAACCGCAACTCTCACAACCGCATACCACCAATGATTTTCCTACATTTACACCTATCATCAGCGAATCTGAGGGTAAATCTTGATTCATCACTAAAGACAACTCGATTCCAGTCACTCTTGAGTCCATCGCTTTCAAATGGACATCTTCAATGTATCAATGTATCGTCCTCCCTGACAGAGAGTATCACATCACGGCTTTCAGTAGATCCACCATCTGAACCAGAATGTGCCACAGAATCAACACAGAGTCAGAATCAATTTGGACCTTTGGAGATGGAGGTCAATCCCTCAGTCCGTTGGAGTAGACACCACTTCAACTCACGATCTTCAGCTGAGCCTCCATGAGTAGCTGAAATACCATTGTTCAGTGAAATTGTAGAGAAATAAAGAATAATTATAATGATTTACAGTTACGAATACAAGATTTCAAACCATCGACATTTTGTTTTCAGTAAACCTATCTTAAATCGTATTGATATAAGACATTTCCTATGACTTCTTTTCTCCTCCAGGAGATGAAGCAACTGAAGGTGCTTCTATTCTGGTACTGCAGGGTATTATACGTAGCCCTGTCCCTTTAAGTACCAATCTCCAAACTGTAGCTGTTCGTGACTCTGACTCTGCATATTGCCCTGAAATTGTGCAGCTTGTATATCCCTCCTTCTTCTAATATTGAACAATCAGAACTTCAAAATCTGTATGATCAACTTCCGAAGCCATGTCTCATCATGGGCCATCATAACAGACACAACCCGCTTGGAAGTGCCCATACAAATAATAAAGGTCAAATCCTTGAAGAATTCATTTCAGATAATAACCTATGTATATTTAACGACGATACAAGCACATATTTACATCCAGCTACGGGAACATATTCTTCCCTGGATCTGTCACTCGCTGACTCCATCTTGTATAATGAATTTGAATGGATGGTCTATTATGACCTATGTGGGAGTGACCTCTTCCCCACCAGTCCCAAAACAATCAACCCTGGTGATGATCCACTTTTACCAAGCAGGAACTTCACCAGGGCTGATTGGTGAATATATAAGACAATCTGTACTGATCACGTAAACAATGATGTATTTGCGAAAAGCGAAGAGATGTTCTCAGATATACTTAACAACATTGCTGACCAAAGTATACCAAAGTCCTCTACAAGTCCATATATTCGCAAACCATGGTTTAAAAATGAATGTAAGCAGGCAAGTAAGCCTGTTATCCCTATACCAAAACTTGGCCGGAATGATAGTGATCCTTTAAATTACAGACCAACTTCTGTTGTGTCTGTAAAACCACGGAAAGAATCGTTAATAATATATCAGTTTGGTATTTGGAAACCAATAAGTTAATTACAAATACACAATGTAGTGTCCGAAAAAAAAGAAAAGAACTGTTGAATTACATGCTTGTGGTTTGAGAGGTCTATTACCTCTTTTCAAGTCCAAGTAGGTAAAACTCTGTCTAACCATTACAATCAGTATCAGGATGTCCCACAAGGCAGTATTTTGTCTGTAACGCCGTTCAATATAAAAATAAACGGTCTTTGAACGGTCTTAAAGGATTCAGTAGATGGTTCCCTTTTTCTGGATGATTTTAATGTTTCTTTCCGTGGCAAAAATATGCATACAATAAAGAGGCAGATACAAAATATCTCTAAACAAAATTCATAAATGGTCAACTGAAAACGACTTTAAATTTTCGAAATTAAAAACTAACTGTATAAATTTCTGTAAAAAATAATCCGATTAAGGACCCAGAACTATTTTTAAATTGCAAACCAATCAAGGTTGTGAAGGAGGCAAGGTTCTTGGAACTTATTTTTCACTTTTATTAAATGTTACTCTTCTTTTTTACTATATTAAATACTTAAAATATATACATGCCTGAAGTCACATGCCTTGTTGGAAATCGTTTCTAATTCAAAGTAGGGAGGGAGCCAAACTACCCTCCTACACTTACACATACACAGATCACCCATGCGTTCGAAACTTGATTACAGCTCCATCGTATATGGTGGAGCCTGCAAAAGCAACCTAAAACCTTAGTTTCTGACCACCTACAAGGTCTAAGACTTTGTCTTGGGTCTTTTAGAACTTCTCCTGTTGACAGTCTCTACGTCGAAGCCGATGAGCCATCTCTTAACCAACGTCGTATAACATTATCCTTACAGTATATCCCAAAACTATATTCAAACGATTCTAACCCTGCATTTAACTGCGTTGTTAATTCTTATCATGAGGATCTGTTCAACAAGAGGCCATCTCTTATTTCTCTACGAATAAGAATCAAATCTTTCCTTTCTGCTGTTGGCTTTGAGCTAGCAAAATATATATATATCCTTCCTGTCTTCTTTCGTCTCCTCCTTGGCAAATGATGAAGCTACAAGTTGACCTAACACAACTTACAAGAAATCAGAAACAAATGAATTCCAATATAGACAAGAATTTAACCAATTGAAAAGTGAATATAATACATACAAAACTTTATTTATAGATGGGCCAAAGGAAGGTGGCGCAGTGGCTTGTGCCACTGTAATTGGATCCAGAACAATTTCTTCTAGAATACCGGATAACAGCTCTATTTTCACAGCTGAGGCAAACGCCATATTAACGACTCATAAATATATATTTTAAAAAACACCCTACATATAAACAATATATAGTCTTTACTGACACTCTTTCGTACCTTCATGCTATCAAAAAACCTATCCTGTAAACACCCACTTTTAATTAAAATTATTGAATTATATAATGATCTTGCTATTGACCAATACGACATCGTCTTTTGTTGGTTACACAGCCACGTTGGCATTTCTGGTAACATAATGGCTGATCTTGCTGCTGCTAGGGCAGCACTTAACAAATCTGTGACACCACTACTCTGATTACAAAGCTGCCATTAGATCATATATCTCCAAGTAGGCATAAATAAATTACATCAAGTAAAGCAAATATCGGTTAGACCTACTTGGGTTGTCAGTCCAGATTTGAAGAGGTCTCAATGCGACGATGCAAGACGTGCTTGACTATATTGATTTGTCCATGAAAAGGGATACGTTTTTGAATGTCAAAACAATTAAGGATCTCTTTTATAAGGTTAATTATCAATTATCATTAAATACTTGTTTTTTGTAATGAAATAGAAGTATTAGATACATTGTGAACAATATGTTTTGTAAATAAATAAATGGAATTTTATAAATGGTAGTATAAATTAACAACTGCGATTGTGAGTGTCTGTATCTTAAGGGGGGTTAAAGTATCGTAAAATTATTGTCCTCCTGAGAGGGTAGGTAAGTCCCAAAAAGTAAATTTAAACTTACCAGGGTTTTTTTCAACGTAGTATTTTTATTATATTAAATTATGGCTAAATTTTCCCACAATTGCCAGCAGCTGAAGGGATGGTGTAATCCAACTGGGGTCCATGCAGGTAGCAATTGCACTGTAAGTCCCCGTGGTCCCTAGTATGGTGACCTACCTTCAGTTGTTGGCGACCTATAGCCTGTTTTTATATTGCATTTTGTCTTCGTAAATAAAATCGTTTTAGATTTACATGCTAATTTTAAACACCATCTGTAATATTTTAGTTATTGTACAATCCTTGATCGAAGACTGGTTATTTAATAACTTGTATTTATTGTGTATGCAAAACCTTTCTCGTCACTATTTGGCTTAAATATTGCCTAGGTGACGTCAAATGTTAACTCACCTCACTCGCTCTCTCATATTACCAGATTACGTTCAGGATTGCGGTCAGTCCTGAGGGAGGCAATTTGCATAGAATTACTGAGCCATGCCATCCTGTGCTATATTTGTTTGTCTATCCTCCTTTGTTCAGAATTCATGGCCATTACATACGTATAATTCCAGGACTGTGTCATTGTGACACTGGCTTCGGTGGAGGGGACTGTTCGGTTGATTTGTCCATTCCCCCTGTTCTTGTCGACGACAGCGAGGGAGGTACATGTGACCTAGCTACGGGCAGGTGTGCAGAGATGGCGGTGTTGGGTGACATCTTTAGTGGTGAAGAAACTTCAAAATGTCAAATGAAGAAATATGTGGTAAGATGTCATTGGAAATAGAAAACCATAAGATCCATTCTTATATTTTTTAAAGAACATCAGCCAGTGAGACTATCGTTGTCACTTTCAGTTAACTTCAACACCACTGGGGTCTCCAAGTAAAGAGTTTAATTTATAGCGATGAACACTGAATGGCACAGATGGTCATGTTTCGTGACCTGGCTGGATGTGTCCAATCATACCTTAATTGAGGATGATGCCAATATTTTCATGATGCCAATCACTGGATTATCTCGTGCAGGCCTGATTAACTGCACTGCCCTATTAATAGAATATTAATGTGCACGATTTTAAACATCTGACAATATCCAGCTCATCGTATGGTTGAAACAGAATAGTCTTGTGATGATTAATGGTATTGTATAAGTTTATTATTGTGTCACGCTTGCTAAAACTGAAATAACTTAAACTTGTACATTACATCAAATGTGCCTGTTTTGCTATTGATGCAAATACTGTGTAATTAAACAAAGGTAACACGGGATGGAAACTTGGCCGCTCCAGTCAGTACAACACCAAGGGCAGTGTTCGAGAGTATTAGTGAGGTGACATGCACAACGCCAGACCCCGGAGATGACGACGTTGTCACGGCTTACAATATGTCAGTGTCTCAAGATGGTCGCGCCTACAGTAATGAGTTGCGGTTCCTTGTGTACGACTCGACATGCGTCACCGTCGACACGGACACTATGGAATGGAGAGTACAGGTTAATGCCCTCTTTTAATTTAGATTCAAATTTAGTATAAATATATCATAAGGGACCCTTCATAACCTATGGCTGGGGGTGGTGGTGTTGATGTTATGATGGGGGGGTGTCACCCATTTTACAAGGGTCACACATACAAGGGTGTCATTGATTTTGTACATAGTATGCAGGAGTCACTTTCTACAATAAATTTGGGGGTGCGGTGGGGGCCATTCACATTGTACATGCTCTTCCTTGAAAATAATCTACACCCCTCTTGCCATAAATTATGATCGGTTCCTTTCTGGAGCACAAAGAAATACAACCCGTAATATAAATTGGTACATTACTGACAGTAAACACCGTTCACTTGCTCACATATAAAGCTTACAATGTATAGCACTTTCTATCAAAGCCTGAAGAATCGAGATTTCTGGGAACGTTAACAATTGTATATGAAATAAACATTTCATAATTACTCGTGGTAAAAGTGGACGGAACTAAATTGGTTGTATTAATTGGAATCCTGACGAATATTTGAAAATAAGCATTTTCAGAATTTTTCTTAAATGTGATCTTCCCATCTCACTTTCCACTCTGACATTTAGGGCGGATACTGCACACATAAAGGGAAATGTGTACGTGAAGGTGAAATCAGAGGAGACGACCCCTGCTTCATCTGTCATGCCAACGAGCACGGGGGGTACTGGATGAATACGTATGGCGGTAAGACATGATCATCCCACAGTGCAGCCACGAACACAGCCTGGTTCCCTGGGTCTGTTGCGCCTGCGCTAACGCAGCAGACCCATGAAACCAGGTTCCCACGAACATCTTGCGTATGACATCCCAGTCTTGAACTCACGAAGCCTCAGAGCTTCGGAAATGACCTGATGACCTTCTTCTGTTTATGGTGCTGCTGCAAGAGAGCAGTGCATATTCGTCAGGCTGGGCACGGTCGTTTCCACCACGAACACCACCCCATCACCCAAAACCTAATCACCAACAAAACACGCCTTGCAATCGGGACATCAAAGGGTGTCATTATATTGTCCCGATAGCAGTACACATTAACCCCCTTCTTGTACAATATGGATCACGGTTTGCACTTTCCACAGTGTTTTCACTAGCAGTACGCGTAATGGGAGGGGAACACAAATCGTCGGTGTCTATCATGCAGACGATTTCTAATCGTAACTTGTTCTACGTTCTTGGATACAATGTTTAGAATGTCTGTCGCCAATCTTTCTTCTAATACTTGGTATTTACTCTTATAACTTGTGTTCCGTTACGTTCGTTAAAGAATGTATATTATTACATCTTTTACAACTGGTTAATATTTGGCTTATATAGTTCGTGAGTTGTTTCCAATTCTCACATATGTATAATATTTTTAGGTGATGATTGCACGCCCATCATGGACAATGGTGGGACAACCTGGGGAAGAAGGATGTCCATCTTAATGTGGCTTCTTGGCGCTTCAACACCTGTCATCATCTATTACCTATAGCTTGTAATCAATCGACAATAGTATTCAAGAAAATACGTTGCTATTCTATCTAAAGTTACAGAAGATCTTGTTCAGAAACTGACAACGTCCAACCAGGAAATCAATATATATATATATATATAAACATATATATTGACCCTTTTCTGTCTACCTAACAAAATAGCGAAATGAACATTAATATCATTAATATCGCTTTCTTATATTCTGTCGTCTTTGAAAAGTATGTAATTATATCACAGTTCTTAACATTCGTTTTATGTGTGTAATTTTTGTGATTTTTGCTCTCTTTTTCGCGAACACCTGATATCCCCACTATTTGATAGCGATTCAATGGGACATGCTCATGAGATCTAATCATGTCGATTTCTAATCGATGCCGAAAGCGCTTTGTCATTTATGTATCGATAATATAACGTTTCCTTCAATAAATAACTTCTTTCCTCAAGGCTCGAGTTTGATATCGGTAGAATTGATGTCTTACAGCTACATTCATTATTCATCTGAGTAAATGCTTACAGTGACTGTTACTTTAAGCATACTGCATGACGCTTTAAATACAGCACAAATGGGCTTTTCCGTAACCGGCAAGAAGACTCGTTCCCTGGTCGAATAATGTAATGTGCACAAAGCTTTGATAACAGTTATAATGTAAGCCCTTAGGAGAACAAATTATAATGTAAGGATTGAGTTCCGGTGCTTCCGTTTCCGGTGTGTGCACGCATCGTGATGACGTCACGTCCGGTTCCGGCGTGCGCGCGCATCCCCATGACGTCACCTCCGAGGACACCCTGTTCAAGATGGCGGCCCATCCGGTGGGATCTTGTGGAATCTCGCAGGATCTCGCGAGCGTAGACGCAATGCAAGATGGCAGACGGACGGGAAGGAGAGGGAGGGAGAGAGAGAGGGAGGGAGGGAGAGAGAGTGGGAGGGAGGGAGGGAGGGAGGGAGAGTGGTGAGGGCGATGGCGTGCGTGGAAAACAATGGCGTGCCTAGAGAAGTGTGGTTCAAGCTTTGTCACTCAGGTTTTCTTTCGAGCAGGGTTGGTGGCCCTGAAAAGGGCCGTTGGCATGGGTGGGTGAGACATCACCGAGGTATCTATTGTCGCGAAGGTGGTCCACTGGAGGTCGTGCTGCTGGAATCGTCCATGGGTTCAACAAACTCCAAGACCCGTTGAAGTAGAGAGTGCATGGTGTCTATACGGTCTTGAACGAGGATGACCTTGTCATGGAGTAGAGTCAGTAGACGATTGTCTTCATGTTTACCCACTTTCTTTGGCGGTTGAGCTGACTGGTTGACGGGAGCCGCACGTTTCTGGGCCTTGTTGGTGCAGTTCATTCTCTTATGGTCCTCTTTACCACAGTGGCGGCAGGGATGTGGGCAGTCGTAACTGACATGACCTTCGTTTTTTCCACAGTTGTAGCAGGTGTTGTTATCGTGCTTGTTGTTGTCCTTGGCCTTCTTGGGACATACGCAATGACTATGGCCTTGAACACCACACTCGGTACAGGTCACCTTGGGACAGTGCAGATAACTGTGGTCATCTGTTTCCCACAGGCGGCAACGGAAGGAAGAGGCAGAGGCGGGAGGCGTTTGCATGCTTCCAGGGTATGACGTCATTCATATAAAAAAAACAAATGAGCTCATGGTGCGCACTGCCACACTAAGGACGACCGATTGTGACGTCAGAGGGTGAGGTTGGCTATATAAACTAGGCTCAGCGTGGGTCTTGTCAGTTCTCACCATGCAGTCACCACGAATTAATGAAGCAGAGGAAGAAGAAGAAGAACTTGAAGAGTTCTGTGCCCTACCGGTTGGAGCCGACGTCCCTACTAACACGCAAGAAGTTCCGAGCCAACACTCATCGCTATAAGCTGAAGTTCAATCCAGCTTGGTTGCAGCGTCAACAACCTGAAGACCACCCCGTCGTTCTCAGAGAGCAGTTTGATGCTGTTTTGTTAGACCTGAGAAACAATGTGAGCGGCCAGGATGGTGATTGCGTGGGATTGATCCTGAAACACCCAGCCCTGGATTCTGATATCTCAATAACATTACAGCAGATGGGTGACCTCCAGGGGGAACACATCATGGCCGAAGTGGAAAAAGTACAGCAAAGTAACCACGACTTGTATATCGATGAGACCATGGATATATACTTACTGCATTTAGAAGATCATGATCGTATAAGCCAGGGGCACAGACGGGCAAGGCACATCATCGGCTTACACTCTTTCCTGGTAAGGAAACAATGCATCGTACAAAATCAAGAATGATGATCAACTCTGCTTTGCCCGTGCCCTGGTCGTAGCCAGTCACCATGAACACAAACCCGATCCTGTGACCAAGGAATGGACGAAGGAATGGAAACAACTTTGTGATAGTTGCAGTCCAGTTCAACTGAAGGCCGCCAAGGGCTTTATTTGTCAACTCAAGATCTCCGAAGGGCCTTGTACTGGACGTGCCACGTGGGAGCTGTTCAGTCAACGTTTGGCGCCTTACTACCAACTCAAAATCTACTCCCAAGATGTCATGAATCGGCTGCTGTACAAGAGTGAAGTGCCTCAACTCACCAAGATCCATCAGCATTACGAAGTCATTACATCCAAGACAGCTTTTACAGGCTATAACTACTACTGTGAAATCTGTAACCAAGGATGCAGCACCCCTGAAAATCATCGCTGCACCCGAGAATTGCAATGCCACTGGTGTCGATGGCCTGGATTCTGTGGCGACGTGGACAATGGAGGACCCTTACTGCTTTCAACGCCATTGGACGGCCTCCGCCAAGCAACCCAGCACCTGCTCCACCATCCACACTTGTCATCGATGCCTAGCCAAAGTCAACGTGAGAAAAATCCAGGGCATGGGCCAACCACCAGTGCGGCACGAATCGTAACTGCAAGATCTGCAAAGAACTCTTGGAACCCAACCATCAGTGCTACATGACCGTCATCAAACCACTCACACAAGATGAAGACGGTGAAAACAAGGATGAAGACAAAGAACGACAACAGCGTGAGTTCATCTTCTATGATTTTGATTGTACCCAAGATCAAGGTAATCATGTTCCCAATTTGTGTGGGGTGCATCTGGGATGTGGAAAATGTATTTCCAAGGCCTCGGATCAACTTTGTGAAAAGTGTCCCTGGCGTGAGGAAGGAGAAGGGCCTAGCCACATCAAAGTGTTTCGGGGATCTACGACCTTGAAGGACATGGGCGACTGACTGATGAGTCTGGCGGAAAAGAAACAAAACAAAAAGAAACGTGAGGCACCACACCAGTCGTCGTCAGCCCGAGCCTCCAAACAATCCAAACCATCACTAGAACCCGATGATGATGTAGAACAACAAGGCGGACGAGGAACAAGGCGACGAAGACTATGAGGACATTTCCCCTACCATTGATGATGACAAGTTTTTGGTCATTGCACACAACTACCGTGGGTATGATGGACATTTGCTCCAACAGTACTTCCATCAACATTTGGTGAAAGCAACCCGGATCATACTATGAGGGAATCACATCTTGCAGATGAACGTGGTGCATCTCGTCTTCAAAATTCACTCACTGTCCTCACGATGGCTCTGAAGCAGTTTCAAAAACGTTTGCCTTGACGTGACGGAACTCAAGAAAGGTTACTTTCCTCACTTCAACACCGAAGCTCACCAAGGCTATGTGGGTCCCTTATCCTCCCGTCTACCTACGATCCTGACGGTATGTTTCCTGCCGAACGAGCTTTCTTGGCCTGGTATGACGCACGCGTGGCTGAAGGGTCTGTCTTTGATCTGGAAGAGGAATTGCTGAACTACTGCCAGAGTGATATTGACATTTTGCGTCAAGGCTGTGCTGCATTCCACAACATGTTAATCCAACAAAAAAAGACGTGGACCCTTTCTCTGAAGCAGTGACATAACCCATGGCTTGCATGCTAGCCTTCTGAAAACTGTTTTTGGAACACCGCACCATCGCCATCATACCTCTGCAAGGTTATCGCCCCCAGCGCAGCTACTCTCTGCAGTGTCTCCACTGGCTCAACTGGGTCATGCACCAACACCCCGACCTCCACACCCAGCATGCCCGTAATGGCGGAGAAGTAGGCTTTAACTGTGCTGATGGCAGTCAATGCATGGTGAACGGCTACGACGCTGAGACACACACCATGTACGAATACTTTGGTTGTTTCTGGCACTGATGTACTCTCTGTTACAAGACGGGTCGATGTGGACCCCACAGTACCATGTGTTTACAGCAATATAGACAATGATGGTAATATTAAACTCTCGGAGACAGAAGAAAAGGCTAAAGAGAGTATCCTGGGTATGATCATCACATACAAAGCTGTTCTTATAGCTTCAAATGTAATAAGAGATGAGGGGCAGAGTGATACCGTATATACCAGAAGAGCAGAAACAGTCAGATGAATATATCAACACTGTAATCACTGTTTATGATACCAATCTGCCCTTGAATTTTATTGCCGCTTTATTTAGATTTTTACTGTACTTTCTGTGTTGTGATTTGGAAACTTTGTTAATTTTTAGAGATGCACTTGTTAATCATATGCCATTCTATCCTATTTTTGTTGTTTCACAAGGACATATTTTACCAACTGATTCCCAGATATTTTGTAGTTTCAACCTCGGAATCTCTACGTAACAATTTGTAAGCGTAGGTGACTCTAGAATACAACTGTTTATTGCATCACATGTCCTTGTTGTTTGTGGCTATCAGCCCGAATTCTGGTATGTTAACTTGTTGTTTCAACTTGGGAATCGACATCGTTAGATAACAAACACTTGTGTGGCAAGGTGTTTTCTCTATGACGAATCTGTGCGTTCCAGGTCGTGTAAATTGTACATGTTGTTATAAAATATGTTGATGTGTGACACACAAGAATCAAATATTTGTATATGTGCAGGTTAGTAGGTTACTGAGAAGATTACATTACTTTCGTAGCTCAGCGGTACTACAGATTTTACTTCTATGGCGTTGGAAAAGCGTACGCGTGAAATGTGTAAGTGAAGCCATGCTCAACCCTGCCCTCCGAGAGTCTAATGACGGCTGGTGAACCATCCATCTTTGATAAAAATAACAAAAGACACATGTATGCATGATTGTAATGGAAGAGGTACCTGCAATGACGGTGAGTAATAAGACGTTCACTTCGCAATATCCCACCAATATCAAAGCTGAATATAATAAAATTTTGTTTCATATATGTGTCATTTGAGGATACACATAAATCTCATTTGCTACAAACACATTATAGGGGAGTTGGCGCCATTGTTCCTGCAAAACAACACCAAGATTCCGGGTTGGTTCTTGAGAGTGCGAGATACGTCTACCAAGAGTTTCCCAGATATGCTCAATTAGATTGAAATCGAAGCGGTTTTGACGGCCAGTCAACGTTGATTCCTGCGCTCTGCAGGTACTTCCTGGTGAAGACGGCTGTATGGAGTCTGGCATGTTGGCAACACTTTCATGTTGAAAGTGCAGAATTGGACCATGCTGCCATTAATGGAATAAGATCGGGGGCTAACATCTGGTCGCGGTAACCTGCAGCATTAAGGTTCCCAGAAGTCGGGAACGGGCAATCCCACAGAAAGAGCCCCAAACCTCGACACTTTCGCTCCCAAATCTGCCAACTTCCTGTACACAACACTGATCGTTACGTTCACGCATCGCCACCACACTCCTCATCCTGTCGTTGGATGCGAAAACTTAAATCCCATGATCATAGATCGCAGTCAAAGCTTGGTGTCCAATAGTGTATTTACAGAGACCTGTCGTGGCATCGTAAAACATTGAGGATCTAAACATTGCAAATCGCACATTTGAAACTACAATCGCATGGAGAATCACACACAACTGGCACCGCGATCACATTGCAGCCATATGCTCCTTTTCCACTTCCTAGCAAAGGGCCGCAGCTTCGCACAACCACATACCACCAATAATTTTCCTACATTTACACTCCTCCCAAATTAGTATCACTAATTTCCAAAAATGAAGGTCATAAAGCTAAAGAGTTACATTACATAAGATGATCCAAATAATATATTCAATGTTCTGTTCGGTAACAGAGGGCACAAACAAGTCTTTGCTCCTGAAACAATATGCAAAGGTCATACACAGCATAACCAAACTAAAGTTCAATCTTCTGATTCAAGTAACAGAACCAACTTCTGGATTCGTCTCTCCAGATATGTCGCCTAAGACCCGGGTTCGAATCCCCACATGGGCACAATGTGTGAAGCCCATTTCTGGTGTCCCCCACCATGATGTTGCTGGAATATTGCTAAAAGCGGCGTAAAACCAAACTCAGACAGTCAGTCAGTCCAGATATGTCACAGTGCTGGTTCGTTTTCCTTTGCACTAAGAGACCTATCCCTAACCACTACCCTGACTTTGCGAACATGTTTGTCCTCATCAGCATAGACGTGACATAAACGAGCAACCTGCCAATGATTACGAGGCAAATTCTCGTCTTTATGACTAGCACAATGTCCCCAACTTGGAGAGATCTTGGTCGCAGCCACTTTTGTCGTAATTTGTAGTGTTTGCAAGAATTCATGCCTCCAACGATGCCAAAATTCATCTGCAAGATGTTGCACACGTCGCCACTGCTTTCGAGTACGTGACTGTTCGTTGAAACTGTCCTGGTGGTGGCAGGATGATTTTAGTTTTCAACGTCAAGAGATGATTGGGTGTCAGGGTTCTGAAGATAGTGGGTCATTGAGATGCTCCACAGTCAAAGGTCGGCTGTTGACTATTGCCATAGCTTCCGACATAAGGGTTCGTAGTCCCTTCATCGCCCAGTTGCCCACCGGCTGTATCCATGAGAGGTGACAGTAGCTCGCGAACAGTGCAGATCTCATGCGGTCCCATACTCTCCCCATGTGACTTGCCGAATGAGAAGTAATCACAGTTTTCCTTAAGAGGGAAGTCCTTCACAAGTTCCTCTTCAAATTCTCTCTTGGCTCCAACAAAGTTAGTACCTTGGTTGCATCAGCAGTTCACGAATAGGTCCACGATGGCTATAAAACGACGCAGGGGAGTTAATGAAAGAATCGGGTGCACAGAGAATTTGTTGTCTTGACGTGAATAGATCTGCCTACTAGACAGGTGAACAAGACGCTGTACCTCTTCAGCTCTTTCCTGTTTTCCTTTAGGTAGAAAGGACCAATAGGTCAAAAATGGTGGTGTTTTCTTCATTCCGTCAGTTGGAAGGTCAGCCATTTTTCTGATCCAGCACAGAAGCTCTATATTACCTACACCGCACACATTTCGAGATGAAGTGTGAGACTGCTTATCCACAGCCAATTATCCAGTATCCTCGGTTGATCGGATTGGATTACTTGACATTCCTCGTCCCTGATGTTCGAATCTCTCATGACAATCACATTATAATGAGATTTGTGATGTGGTGGTTCTTTGGCACAATCACGGGATGCCTCAAATTATCAGACAATTCAGCTTGGTGAATTCGACCTCCGACTCGCACACAATACCATCAGCATCAAGGTAAGGGGTTAAGTTTGTACATTGGACTTGTTCCTTCAGAGCATTCTTACTGTCTTTTCGCACACTGTCTGTCAGATTTCTCAGATGTCATCATGGTTTTCAGAGTTTTGACCTCATCAGGAAATGATTCTTCTTGAACCATTTTAACTATCACACGTTCCGCCACTGCAAATCTGTTACATCAGTCGATAGACTGGGAATTGTCACTGTCTTCAAAGTCGCGATCGCGAGCCTTCCCATGACAAAGGTGCAGTGAATGCTGTCTTTGCCATCTGTCATTCTCAGATGAGAACACTGACAGTAACCTTCAGGGCTTGCATAGGAGAAGTGGTGCATTTCACAGCTTTGCACTTCCCCAAAGTCTTTTAGGCTTGTTGCATCGTTCGACCTTAACGGTTTTCAGAAGAAACAAGTCATTTTGCCTCTGGTCCCATTTTTGTTTCAGAATGTGTGCCAACAGATCATCCCAGTCTGCACTGTCCCAGCACATCTGTTGTAGAATTGCTTTCCACTTCCAATTACTGGAGCGATGAAACCCAGCCGGTCATAGATCGAGCTGACCCCAGACAATATACCACGCCGCTCTGAGCGGTTGATCTTGCAATATGATCCTGAACTGCAGCGTATCTGACTCGATGCACCATGTGACACCTAATGCTCTTTCCACAGGTAGAGAATCTGTCGACAGGTTAATGTTCTTCATTCCACTTGCCTTGTCTTCTGTAGTAAGATGAGCAATAACATCTTTGGGGTGGGCGCAAATGTCCTTGGTTTTATTGATCAAATCTACAGCCTCCTCTGTAGTAGGTACTGATGCCAACCCATCATCCACATAAAAATTCGTTCGTAGGAAGTTTGCAGAATCCACACCACAATCATCCTCGTAATCATTAGCAAATTGTTTCAGGCTGAAGTTGCACCAAACAAATTGACGGTCATTCTGGATTCAGTAGGTTGTCCTTTTAGATCCTGTGTGTCCCTCCAAAGGAATCTAAGATAATTTCGATCACATTCATCAACCTTGAATTGATGAAACATCTGCTCAATATCGCACATTATGTCAACTTGCACCTTTCCAAACAGACAAAGAACTCCAACCAAAGCATTGATCAAGTCGGGTCCCCATAACAAGTGATCATTGAGTGATTCTTCACAATATCGCACACTACAGTCAAAGACCACTCTGATTTGTCCTGGTTTTGGGGGTTATATAGTCCGTGTTGAGGAAGATACAACACATTATCATCACTGAGCTCAAAAGCTGGTACCTGCTCCGCATGTCCAGATAATGACTTGATGATATTTTGCATAAAGGTGGCAAAATCCTTCCAGTATTTGGGGTTCATCAGAAACCGTTTTTTCAGTTGCATCAACCTTTGCAAGACCACTGATTTGTTGTTTGGAAACTTTGGTTTAGAGTTTCTGGATGGTAGTGCACACTCATAGTGATTGGCATCTCTTTGATGGATGCTTTCCTTCATCTTTGAAAGGAATTTCCTGTCATCACAGGACAACACCACATGTTCAGACCTTTGTTCACTGAAATCAAGTTCCATCATTTGTGTCGCACTGCGTGGCACAAACTCCTCTTTTACCGTTGTCTGGAGTGACACAAAGACTCGTTGGACATTTCTCCATCGTAGGCACACGCAACTTATAAGGAACTTCGCATGCCAATACTCTATGGCTTGTTCCAATATCATCGCAGTTCTCAACTTGGCTGTGGTCAACTATTCCCACTATGCCCCAGCCGACGTCAGTTCGCTCTCCATAAGGCTCATTATCGTTGACAAAAGGAATGACTTCACGGGAACAGTTGTAACCTATTAATAGGCGAACTTCAATGTCAAAAGCTCATCTGCAACTTTCTGCAAATGAGGCCATAATCACGCCATAATCACGCCTTCACAGGAGATGGAATGTGGTCTTTGTTTGCAGGCATGATTTCCCTTGAGTACGTTGTAAGCAAAGAAATCTTAACCTCACAATTAAATCCACGCACAATTAGACAACTAATCCTTTTGCTATCTTTTTCTGGATCCTCAGATGACATGGTAGATAACATCAGATTCATGGAAGGGTTCAAAACATCACAGACACTGTTCAGCACAAAGATTGTGTCCGATTGTATTGTCGACTAGATGCATAAACAAGTCTTTCATGTTCAGGCTGCTCACAATGAGATACCCAAACTGGCACTATCATTGAACACTTGCCGCCCTGTCCACTGTTGTTGTAAGAGACACTTGAATGAGCGCTAGTTGCTTTCACAGAGTTTGTTTGATTAAGTGGCTAGAGAAGTAGGATGGAACTTGGAACAAGTAGAACACATTTTACGTTGCTTACAGTCACGTGATCTATGTCCTTCCTGAAGGCATCCAAAACGCAACCACTTCTCTCTCCTTCCGTTCCCTTATTGGCTTATCCACTTATCCAGGAACAACCTACATTTTTCAGTATCATGCCCCTTGTCACAAAAGGGACATTTCAGTACATTGTCTTTCCCTTGTGGAGCTGTGACCACAGTAGAAAACGTGCTGCTGGTGCAGCTCTCTGTGGAATTTCATGGGTTCAGAATACGATTTCCTGTGTGGCTTTGTAGCAAGGAAAGAGGTTACA